TTGAGGGTGTACAACAGTATTTACTGTACATAGCATAATGAAAGTTCTCTCATTTGAAGTACTGCTACTATGTACTGTAATTATATTGTATGTGTAAGTAGTATTGAAACCTTGTAGATGAGCCTGTAGGCCAACTTCCCTCGTGGTCAGTCCATGCAGAAGAACATGGTCAACTATAGTGCTTTGTATTTCATCAGGAACAAATGACCTTTGACTCATCCGTTTCATTTTTATTTCCCCCTCCTATTCCTCTTTGTTTCCCACTACCAGGATTCATTTTCCAAAACTCATAATCACTTGTGCTCCTGTGCATATCATCCTAAGATTCTGACTTCTGTGTCATCAGTTTTGCTACCAAATGTTCACACATGGATAAATGTGCACTGTTTGAGTTCATTTTTTGATGCTTGAGTTAATAATATTGTGTGTTTTTGTTTTCTGAATAAGAACATGGTTAAACCTGTGGAAAATGATGGTGTTTTTGTGTAGAGTTTTGCAGAAAACACTAAGCAAATTGGAACATGTGTGCAAACAGTAACATGAGATTGGCAGAAACTGTGTGTGTTATGTCCCCTTTAAATATGTTTAAAATTGTAAATATTCTTTAACATTTAATGCATTTATCTAATCTGACTTTTTAATATCTACAGTATATGCTCAATACAGACACGCAAGTTTACTAAACAATCTTCATGAAAACATAGCATAGACTTAAATTTTTTATTAAAGCTAATACTGATTACAGAACAACCCATAGCACTACCTTTTTATCCTAAATGGAGAAAACCATCTTAATGGAAAAGTCAAATCAAAACCAGATGGGATGTTTAACAAAAAAATTTGGAATTTGATAACCATCAAAGCATCTTGTGTTGTTGGTGTGTTTAAAAGAAAAAGAATAAAAAGAGCTGTAAATCTGCTTTGCCTTCATGCAGACACACATACAGTATACATATACATGATACACAGGGCAAATTCTGAACAATGTTGCTGGGCAATGTTGCCATCAAAGGGCAACCAGGTGAGACACAGGGCCCACGACCGATCTAAAGTAGCCAGACAGAAATTTGTTGCCCAGTCTCAATGGGAAAGTGCCCAAGCATCATCGCTTGGCAACAATGCCCAGCAACATTGATGAAAAAGTTGCCCCGTATATCATCACCTATACTCTCCAAGGTTGGGTTAAAATACAGTAAAACAGTAATACTGTGAAATATTATTACAATTTAAAAGGACAGTTTTGTATTTGAATATATTTTAAAATGTAATTTATTCCTGTGATGGCAAACTGAATTTTCAGCAGCCATTACTCCAGTCTTCAGTGTCACATGATCCTTTAAAAAAATCATTCTAATCCACCTTATTTGTCCAGTAAGAGCTTTGTAAAATTGATGTATCTGGCTTCCGGTGTCATTCACTTCCAGTTATTTTGAGCTGTACAAAACCGCTTGTTTTGCTGCTTGATATTGCAAACTGGTGTGTCTTACCATATTATTTTAATGTATTATCCTAATTATGAACACTGGTTTGAAGTGCAAAAATTTTACCGATTACTTCACTTTGTTTTCTTCTTGCTATTTCCCTACAGCAGCTAATGAACTGGAAGTCTCGCACATTCACAGAAAATGACTTATTTTTGCTTTAAAAAATTATGTGGATATGCTGATTTGCTGCTCAAGAAACATTTATTATTATCAAGGTTGAAAAGAGTTGTGCTGCTTAATATTTTTGTGGAAACTGTGATAAACTATCACGCCAATCAATGTAATTCAGTCTTGCTGAACAACATTATCAATTAAAAAAAAAATTAACAGCCCTATTTTCTATATGCAGATATGTTGAAATACACCTTTCAATTGTGCAAACCAGTTACAACCAGGCAATCAATCAACCAATAAATAAATAAATAAACAGCTGTTTTACTATCTCTGCCAATATAAATTGTAGCACTAAACAGCTGAAGTTTGTCTGGCACAATACCTCCACAAAACCCACCTACAACCATTCTATATATTTAAAGATACCTCCACATAATGCAGGCACCTAGAGAAGGAGCTGTACCTTCCCTCTAAACATACCTACACCTACAAACCAAAGCCTTGAGTTAAACTGTCTCCAAACTTGAAATTGTCAAGTCAGTTTCTGTCTGTAAACTCCCAGTGGCTCTTAAGTGAAGTTTTATATCATTCTGAAGGGAGATAAGATTATGAGTCAAACATTAATACGTCAAAAAAGAGCAATGAATAGGCCACTGTCCAGAGCCGGTGGGGGATCTAAGAACTGTCTCAGTTGTCTACTTAGAACCAGAAATATTTCACTTTTTTTCTGCATCATCTGAAACCACACTTTTATCACACAAACACACATACACACACACACAATGTGCACATTGGGCCACCATTGCTAAAACAGTGTTTCCGCTACATTCGTTCTGCCGTGGCGGGCCGCCACTAAAATCATTTCCACCACAGCTGCAGTTTCTCAGTGACATTGCAGTGACACCACTCACATTATTTATCACTCACAGTCCAGGAATTAGCAGAAGAGACCTGAATTTTGTCGCGGAATTGTGGGTATTGCCAGTGGCATAGCAGACAGGCACACAGGGCCCGCGTATAGGTGGGCCCCCGTGATAACCTCTCAGTGCTGAGTTGCATCACATCATGTATCGACGATAGCCAGAGATATTATCAAAAGAATCAAACCCTCAGATTCCAGATTTTCAAATAGTTGTATCTCGGCCAAATATTGTTCTATCCTAACAAACCATACATCAATGGAAAGCTTATTTATTCAGAAAAAAAATTGACCCTTATGACTGGGTTTGTTGTCCAGGGTCACAAATATTGGCAATATTAGGAAAGGAAGGAAAAGAAAGGATGTGATGTGTGGCCAAGTATGGTGACCCATACTTGGAATTTGTGCTCTGCATTTCACCCATCCAAGTGCACACACAGCAGTGAGAAGTGAACAAACACACACACAATGTGAACACACACCCGGAGCAGTGGGCAGCCATATTGCTCCGGTGCCCGGGGAGTAGTTGGGGGTTCGGTGCCTTGCTCAAGGGTCTCACCTTAGTCGAGGTATTGAGGGTGGAGAGAGCACTGGCTTCACTTACAGCAGAAGTGAGTATAAGGTTTTTTTTATGAATCTTTGCAATCGCCTTTCCTAACAACATGCTAGTTAGCAAGTTTCGCGGCTAAAGTAAACAGTCTCAGAGCACGGTAATTAGTCACCCCACAGAAGAGAGGGGCGGGGTGAGCAGAGCTCGTTAGCATTTAAAGCAACATGCAAAAAACGAGTTGATTTCTGCAGAGCTGATTTTGACAAGGTAAAAAGAGTGTTTTTTACGCTACCATTTAGAAATTTTAAGCAAAGTATGTTATAGACTTTTCATTAAGACCCTAAAGAATCATATCAACTTGTGGAAAATGGCCATCCGATGACCCCTTTAAAATAAGTTCAATTCTTTATTTGAGTGCATGTGATTCTTGGGTGGGGAGGGTCAACAACCAGAGGGAAGTGGGCATGGTCCATGGGAAGTAGCTCTGCCACCACAGCTGGAAAAAATCCTACAGGAAACACTGTAAAAGTGTGACATGGTGCATCGCTATAATGACACCCTGATACCCAATCATCCCCTGCACTGCCCAACTGCTCCCAAAAAAATCAGAAGCCAGTTTTACTGTCATTACACACAAAAGTTATTTAAAATACCGAACCTAGAGAAACCTGCACCTGTCAGGGGCAACAGTTACAAATTACACAAAAAAATATTTTTTTATAGCTTCTCCAATAATACCTATTTTGAGTAAATCATAATCATCGGTCCACACTAACCAGTATGTGTATATGTGTTTCCACTTACTTCATTTGTGCTTTTTTTGTTTTGTTAGTTCTACATTTGAGTGTTTAGTGTTACAGCTATAAGTAATCATCCCTTAGTCTTTTTCACTATGTGATCCCCTGTAGGCTTTTGTCTTCAAAAGTGGTATTGACAGCACTGACTTTTCAGAAAGTTCAGCTAAAGTTCTAAATATTTTCTTGCTGCCTCAAACATTGTTGCCTTTTTTGTTTCCCTTGCTTGAGTCAGTGGTTCTGCGTCTGCTATTTAGCTTTTCTTTTGTATCTGTTTTGACTAAAAATACACTGCAAAATATACTTTTATTCTTACTCAATAGAATTTATATTCTATAGGAATTTGCCAAAAATGTGCACTCTGCAACACCTGATAAACCTACAAAATGAACATTTATTAATTTGCAACTTAGAGGCAGTTTGTGTATTTGAAATAAATGAATGAATGAATGAATGAATTTGCATATCATTGCTCTTTTGTTGATTTTGATTGCTTCCATTGTCCTCATTTGTAAGTCGCTTTGGATAAAAGCGTCTGCTAAATGACTAAATGTAAATGTAATGAATAAATTAATGTAAATAATAAATGGTCACACTTTAGTTTAGGGACCAATTCTTACTGTTAACGATTAACTATGACTCCTATTTTGCTGCTTATTAATTAGTAGTAGTTAGTAAGATGGTTGTTAAGTTTAGCTACGAGGTAGGATTAAGGGATCTAAAATATTGTCATGCAGAATAAGGCATTAATATGTGCTTTATAAGTACTAGCATAACAGCTAATATGCTAGTAATATGCATGCTAACAAGCATCTAGTTAATAGTGAGAATTGGTCCCTAAACTAAAGTGTTGATGGATGGATGGATGGATAAGACACTCTATTTGCTGTATGTTGTTTAGGCCAATACTACTAAAATAAACTACTGCAATTCGATAAGTCTCAAGTCTTTGAGAACATATGTTTTTATCAATATTGTTTTTTAGCAGCATCAAAGCGTAACTTAAATTAGTCATATTTTTGCAATCAATATGGTATGGTAAGATGAAAGAACTTTTAACATTTTTAAGAAAATAATTATATGACTAGTTTGTTTGTCCTGTTTTGTTATTTTTACATGTAGTTTAAATAAAGTATTACTGAACTTTGCGATGAACTGGTGGACAGGATGAAGGGTACTTGAAGTTCATTATGGGTTAAAATCATTTGTCAATACAACCATTAAAATCAAGAGAGGCGACGAAGTTTACAGAGGCCCTTTCTCTGAAAATTATGTCAATCAAGTTTGTACATCATCACATTGGAAAAAGACCATTAAAATGTCAGGGTTCAAAATTCTCAATTAGCTGGAGATCTTGGGAACCTACGAGACGAATGTGGGCACAGCTCCTGGTAAACTTTTTGCTACTGTACTGTCATCATGAAGAATGACGTGAATGTATTTCTGCGTGAGTGTGTGTGTCTAAGCGCTTTTCTCTTCAGATCAGTGCAGCTTTACAGGTTGTTTCACTGAGGATTAGGACCATTCAGTGTGTGAAAAGATAAAAGATTTTCAATATTTCCACTAACAGGTTGCTACATTATCTTCTCTAAGTCCTTCAAAATCATCCAAGCTTTAGGTCATGTGTAGTTATTAGAAGTTGCTGAAAGCTTTTTTCACCAGAATGATAGGCTGTCTCTACCCTTTTTCTATTTTATCTCTTTATTTTCCTCTCTTTTTTCCTTTCTCTGTTCTGCTTTCTACACATCTCTTCTTAACCTCTTAACTCTTTCCCCCTCTTAGACAAAAGAAGATTCAGTCAGATTAAGACTAAAGCAGTTGATTTGAGGGGCCTTGGGGAGAGAGATTACCTGTGCTCCGTTGCTCGGTCTGTCTCTAAGACACCATGTCCCATTAAAAATCAGCAATACTCTGATCATTTTTTGACTCTAATAGCTATACCAATACACATCGCTTCCTGCTACACCCCACACAATCAAACACACAGTTTATCTTGCTCAGAGTAATAGGACAGTGGGTCAATGTTCTAACAAATTACCTTTTTTTCTGACAAAAGGAGGCAGAACTCAAAATTATAAAATAGCTCTAAATTCTCATGCCAAGAGTTAAATGAATAGTTCACCTGAAAGTGAAAAGCCATACAGTTATACAACACCTTTGGCAAATGGTACTATTAAGAACCATAAGAGGAACCCAATTCTCCTTTAGATTTTCACTCTCATATGTTTGCTATGAATGGGAATTCACAACAATGGCAAAGCTTAAGTAAAAAAGTCTTGTGTGGGGGTCCTGGAATATTCCTTATAGGGGGGCCTCAGGGGCAAAAAGGTTGAGAACCATATTATTCTTCAGTAAATACACTATATTTTAATGTTGTTTTCACCGCTGAAGAACCGATTTGTGTGTGTGTGTGTGTTTCCCTTTAATACAGGATCGCTGTTTGTGCAAGCAAATGAGAGGTGATTAAAGAATGCTGCTTCAAGAATTTACACTATAAGTGTCATCTACAGTACACAACTTGCCAAACATAATACTAATAATTAGGGCTGTAACGATTCACTCGTTTTCTCGATGCATCGATTAGAAACCCTGACGATGCAATGCATTGATCTTTAAACATGGATTTTTGAATCGTGAATCGCCGATTTCGGACAGTAATCAATTTAAAACGCTAATAATCGAATGAATCGCGATTTCTATAGTGATTCAATGCTTTCAAAATATATACACATTAAATTACTACAAGCACGAATGAATGGAGACCTTGAACAGTGTTCGTGCCCTCGCATCTCTCCTTAAAGCACTCCACTATTTACCGCCTGTGACTGTCACAGGATTGCGCTCACGCTCCATTCGTCTCACTGACACATTTTTTGAGCAGCTGATGTGTGATCTCTCCTTAGTACTCGTGGCCAGTAATGCTAAAGTGAAGTAGTTTTACTTTTCTGTAGTTTTTCAATGGCTCTCGGTGTAGTTTTGCTTTTCTACTTTTCTTTGCTTTTCATACCGACGACATTACCCGAGCAGTCGAAGGCTGCGCATATATTGCATGGACAGAGCAAAGATTTTAGTGTCTAAAGCATATGCACGTTCCACTGAATGATAAATGTGTTTTAACAATGTCGTTGAACCGAATGTATGAAGGAAACTGTTAAAATAACCACAGCATTAACAACAACCTTGAAATAAGAGCGAGAGGTTTATCTGATAATTAGATGCATGAAAGTAGCGTTTGTTGCTATAGCAAACAGACTTCGGCCGTTTTCTTTCATAATCATAATTCGATGGAGAGGAATATAGCATTTTATTTTATGAAGTTTTCGCACTGAAAGAGAAGTGATCTCGCGCTCATAGAATTAAGACGTGCCAGGCTATATCTGCAGATAAACTGTATAAAAAGCAGAATGAACTGAAACGTTAAGACAATAAACACAATAAATAAATAAATAAATAATTGATGAATGATGCAGTGCTAATTTACATATTTATTACAGTACAGAAACTATAAAGTATATTTTCTACCTTATTCTGTGCAGAAAATTGTAATAATTGTTTGTAGTATGTAGCGTCTGCGTAGGATCATGCATGATTTTTGCTCACCATGAGTGCACTCATTTGATCATTTGATTAAAAATACAGTCATTTGAAATATTATACATGTTTTTGTCACTTTTGATTTAATGTATCCTTGCTGAATAAGCGTATTAATTTATTTAAAAATAATAATAAATACATACATAAAATTATTGTATTTGACATTTGTCACTTTTGAAATGATGGCTACGCCCCTGGTGTGACAAAATGTTAGCCTATACATAATACATTTAAAGCTCTTTTTTAAAATCTTGGCTTACATTTCTACACATGCCATGTCATGCCATAGCATCATTAAAACCTATAGTTCTCTAACCATAAAGGCTGCTGTGTAATTTGCCCC